AGAGGCAGCCGGGCTCACGGTACCGCCGGGAGCAAGTCTCCTCGAAGAAGAAGAAAACACCTGGCACAGTGTGACATTCTGAAGTGCAAGGACTTTTCCGGGACAAAAGTTTCTGAAGGTGGCAGTTCGTGTCTCGGTCTCTGTGGGGTCCAGAATTTGCTGCACAGCGGGAGGTGACAAGGAGCCGCTGGATTCTTGTGTGACATTAACACTGGACGTGCGCCTGCTCTAAGCTCTGGAAGTCACATCCTCCCTGCGGGTTTTTTTTTTTTTTTTTTTTTTGAGATGGAGTCTTGCTCTGTTGCCCAGGCTGGAGTGCAGTGGTGCGATCTCAGCTCAGTGCTGCAACCTCCACCTCATGTGTTCAAATGATTCTCCTGCCTCAGCCCCCTGACTATCTGGGATTACAGTGACTCACCACCACCGCACCAGCTAATTTTTGTATTTTTAGTAGAGATGGGGTTTCACCATGTTGGCCAGGCTGGTCTTGAACTGACCTCGTGACCCGCCCTCCTTGGCCTCCCAAAGTGCTGAGATTACAGGTGTGAGCCACCATGCCCAATCTTTTTTTCTCTTTTAGAGATGGAGTCTTGCTCTGTCGCCCAGGCTGGAGTGCAGTGGTGCGATCTCAGCTCAGTGCTGCAACCTCCACCTCCTGTGTTCAAGCGATTCTCCTGCCTCAGCCTCCTGAGTAGCTGGGACTACATATGCCACTACTCCTGGCTAATTTTTATATTTTTAGTAGAAACAGGGTTTCACCATATTGACCAGGCTGGTCTCGAACTGCTGACCTCAGGTGATCCATCTGCCTCCCAAAGTGCTGGGATGAGAGGCGTGAGCCACCGCGCCCAGCCCTTCCCTGCATCCCAATGTCCACAAATATTATAAATCACCTACTTAACTGTCCAGGATTTTCAACTAATTGTCCAATGTCTAGACAAAGGTGCTTTCAAATATCTATAATAGGTCAGGATGTGGACTAGGATGTTTTATCAATTAATTGATTGATTACAGTAAGGAAAACACCCAAAGTCCTCCAAAAGCATAGAAGTGCCTTTCCTATTAGATACGTCCACTGCTGTGCATATTGCTCAGTTATGATGAAACGTCCCTCGTGTTCCGTTTTGGAGTCCCTGAGGTGCAGCCTACGGTGTGGCCCTGGACTCAGGAAGCCCCTGAAGGAGGGGAGCACACCTGCTGCTGTGCCTGCACTGCCTGTCCACACAGGGGTTTCCAGCCAGACAGGTGAGCACCTGTAGCGACGCCCTCCCATCCACATCTGTCGTCCTTCCTGCCCTGACTCCAGGTAAGGGCACAGGGCCACGGAATTACAGGTAAGTCGTCTTCTTCTTCTTCTTTTTCTTTTTTTTGAGATGCAGTTTCACTTCTGTCACCCAGGCGGGAGTACGATGGTGTGACCTCGGCTCACCGCAACCTCCGCCTCTCAGGTTCAAGTGATTCTCCTGCCTCAGCCTCCCGAGTAGCTGGGATCACAGGAATGTACCACCACTCCCGGCTAATTTTGTTTTTTTTGTTTGTTTGTTTTTTGTAGAGACGGGGTTTCTCCACGTTGGTCAGGCTGGTCTCGAACTCCTGACCTGAGGTGCTCTGCCCACTTCGACCTCTCAAAGTGCTGGGATTACAGGTGTGAGCCACCGCACCCAGCCTCAGGTAAGTCTTCTTTACTCAGTCATCTATTCACTCACTCGGCTAATTCATCCATAAATTCCATTGCTGTAACTTAGTAATTCCAAATAACCTGAATGTCCACCTGTCATGCAATGCCCTCACCACACACCTTGCCTGGTCGGCTAGTTCTTCCCAGGGATTTCCCATCCCTGTAATGCCGTTAAAATGTCTAAACTAGGCCGCCTGCTTATAAAACAGCAAGTCAGAGTAAAAAAAAAACTGGGCTTAGAGCCAACAAATCACAGCTGTCACAGAAGAGGCTCTGCCGGGGGCAGTGGCTCAGCCTGTAATCTCAGCATTTTGGGAGGCTGAGGCGGGTGGATCACTTGAGGTCAGGAGTTCGAGACCAGCCTGGCCAACATGGTGAAACCCCCGTCTGTACTAAAAATACAAAAAACTTACCTGGGCGTGGTGGCAGGTGCCTGTAATCTCAGCTATTTGGGAGGCTGAGGCAGGAGAATCGCATGAACCCGGAGGGCGGAGGTTGCAGTGAGCAGAGGTTGTGCCACTGCACTCCAGCCTGGGTGAGAAGAGCAAAACCCTATCTCAAAACAAAGAACAACTAAACAGGCTAACAAAATGCTGCAGCAGGGTATGACTTGAGAAGTCATTTCTGAGACAGAGGACGGGATCTGGGAGCTGTCCAGCTCCTGAAAATATGTGGCAGGAGACGGAAGAACTAAGATTCTCTACACAACAGGACAATGTGCCTCTCGCTGTTCAGGAGACTGGGGGTGGGCAATCAGGCTTTCGGCTAAGAAGCCTCTAGGAAAAGGCCCAGACCGCACTGCTGAGCCAGCCTGGAGGCTCACACGCCCCCAAATCCCCATCCCCAACGCTGCCCAGAAGGCCACAGGCCACACCACTGCCAGGTGAGGTTGAGGAAACGCTGCCTTCTTGCGTCAGGTTCCAGAAACTAACGTAAAACTTGTAAATAATGTTATTGAAATTAGGATTTTATGTTGTTTCAATTCAAACAGAAATTCAGTTGAGGAATAAATAGCCAGGTGTGGTGGCTCACACCTGTAATCCCAGCGCTTTGGGAGGCTGAGGTGGGTGGATCACGAGGTAAAGAGATCGAGACCATCCTGGTCAACATGGTGAAACCCCGTCTCTACTAAAAATACAAAAATTAGCTGGGCACGGTGGCGCGTGCCTGTAATCCCAGCTACTCAGGAGGCTGAGGCAGGAGAATTGCCTGAACTCAGGAGGCGGAGATTTCGGCGAGCCGAGATCGCGCCATTGCACTCCAGCCTGGGTAACAAGAGCGAAACTCCGTCTCAAAAAAAAAAAAAAAAATTGTAATTTACAGATCACAAAATTTCACTCCTAAATACTTCCGTATGCACCTATTAAAAAAAAAGTAAGCATAAAAGTGGGGTGTGGTTGTGCGCACCTGTAGTCCCAGCTACTCAGGAGGCCGAGGCAGGAGAATTGCCTGAACCCAGGAGGCGGAGGTTGTGGTGAGCCGAGATCGCGCCATTGCCCTCCAGCCTGGGCAGCAGAATGACACCCTGTGTCTAAAAAACAAGGTATGTATGATTTCCTACAAAACCAGAATAACATATGGTAGCTGACACATTCAAAAAAATCTTGCATATCATCAAATACTCAGGGGGAGTTTTCTTTTTTTTTTGAGACCTAGCCTGCTCTGTCGTCAGGGTGGAGCGCAGTGGCACAATCTCAGCTCCCTGCAACCTCTGCCTCCTGGATTTGAGAGATTCTCCTGCCTCAGCCTCCCAAATAGCTGGGATTACAGGCGTCCGCCACCATGCCCGGTTAGGTTTTGCATTTTTAGTAGAGACGGGGTTTCACCATGTTGACCAGGATGGTCTCGATCCCCTGGCCTTGTGATCCACCCACCTCGGCTTCCCAATGTGCTGGGATTACAGGCATGAGCCACTGTGCCCGGCCAGGAGGAGGTCTTCAAAAACCAATTAACCTCAGAAGGTGGGAGAAATGCCAGGCCAGCAGGACACAGCCTCGGGAAATGACATTTACATGGCTAACAATCTGAGTTTCCTGTGAGAAACAACAGAAAAAAATATCCTCCTTGTACAATGAGAGAAAATACTATTTTTTCCCATGAAACCATAAGGCTGTGGGCAGTGTAAACCCAAAATTACACGTGAGAGCTTCCCCAGAGCTCCATGTGGGCAGAGAAATGTGTCCTAACTGCCGCCCTGCCTGCTATCTTGGTACCGGGAACCTGTGAGAATTTCCGAGCCCGACACCCTGCGTCCCGGCTTTTCTCAACACATGCAGAGCAGCGCATGGGTAGTCCAGCTGGGCAGCACCCAGACAGCGAGACAGGCCACCGGCTCCCAAAGCTGGGCCCTTCCGGCTCCTGAGGACCCTCTGTGGATGGGTCTGGTCAGTACAGCCCTTGTTCTCTGCTCTCACAGCCGTGGGGGGCACATGCTGTTTCTGAAGAACAGACTCCCCCAGCCAAAGCCAGCAGCCGGACTCAGCCACGTCCTCTCCCTCACTCCAAATTTCCTCCTCTCCTCAGTCTTCACTGCTGGTCCCACCATGACCACCTGCCCTGCAGCAGACCACACCGGAGTCCTGTGCACTGTAGCTGCTCCCAGAGACGCATGCTCAACCCTCACTGTGGTCCTGGCTTTCAAGGCCATTGCACCTGGGAGGAGACGGAGGTGTCGGCTGGTGTCAGGGCACCTGGGTCATTCCCATTTGCTCCTGATACACGTGACTCTGCCTGTGGGATCTGGCTGGGACCCTCTCTCCCACCCACTGCCAGAGACATGTTCTGAGCCCAGACACAGCCTCGTCAGTCCTCGAGCGTCACTGCCAGCTGTGGCTTCCTAGGGTACCTGGGAGGCTTCAGTGTGACTTTCCTGGCCAGGGTCCCGTCTGACACCTGCATGGAGGCGAGTCCCTGAGGTTCAGCTGGAGTTCTGCAGGGTCTGGGTCACCTTCCTTCCCGTCCACCAAGGGCAGGTCTCCATCGCAGCCCCTTGGGTGGGGCTCCCAGGCTGCACTTTTGCCCCCCAGGGCTACACCACCCTCCTGTTGAAAAAGCGAGCTCTGTGTGTTCTGCCATCACTTCAGGGAAACCAGCCCCTGAATTACCCATATCAGAAGTGCGGCCCCCAGGTGCACGGGGGGTGGACATGAGCAGAGGGGAGGGGTATGCTGACCCATCTGACCCTTGACCCCAGCGCCATGCAGGGAGGAACGCAAGGGCGGGCTTGGCTGCTGCCCTCCACCATCACAGCAGGTGAGTCGCCTCTGACGGCAGGAACTCGTCCCCGAACGACCGTAAGGAACAGAGGCACTGAGACCACTCGTCAAACCAATGTCCTATTTTACTAAAAACCACACGTACATTACATTTTACAAAACAGCAACTATCTGATCTTTCAGTCCCTTAACCCCATAAAGGAATGGGGATATGTGGGGAGCTACGGGAACAGGTCCCCCTCCAAATGCTCAGGGCTACCTAGGCATCCCCAGACCCCAGTCCAGTGCAGGGCAGGGGGCAGCAGAGCCCGCACCGCTCCATCAGCCCAGGGTCCCCGTCTGGAGTCCTCAGTGCCTACCCAGGGCCAGAGGGACCACCTGGGGGGCCGGCCTCAGCTGGACTCAGCCACTCCCTGCCTGGGCAGGGTCCAGCCTCAGGAGGAGGAGTGTGGGTACCCATAGTGGTTGTGGTCAGCCTCGCCCAGGGTCACCGTCAGTGACAGGCTGGGCTTCCGTTCCAGCTCCTCCTCCTTCGGGCAGTGCTGTGGGGGTCTGGCTTTGAAGAAGTCAGAGATGTAGCGGACCTGGCAGAGAGGAGGAAGGTGAGACCGGGCAGGGGCTGGACAGGCACCAGGGACATGGGCATGAGCAGGATGGGGAGGAGCAGGGTCCCAGTGGGAGCAGGGGGCCTAGGTGGGCAATGAGAGGAAGACTGCCTATGGGGGGAAGAGAGCCCTCTTAGTGAAGGACCAGTGGAGAGTATTGGGGTGCTGACGGGCCCAGGGAAGGACTTCGGTTTGGGGAGAAGTGTCCCAGGGGAAGAATGGGGGAAGGAGGGTTCCCAGGGATGGACTGGGGTTGAGGGAAGGGGTCCCCGGGAGGAATGGGGGAAGAAGGGGTTCCATGAATGGACTGGGGTTGGGACAAGGGGTCCCAGGGTAGGATGTGGGGGGTAGGGGAGGGGTCCAGGGATGGACTGGGGTTGGGGGTAGGGGTCCCAGGGGAGTAATGGGGGGAAGGGAGGGGCCCTCAGAAAGGACTAGGATTGGGGGAAGAGGTCCCAGGGGAGAAATGGGGAGAAGGGGTCCAGGGAAGGACTGAGATTGGGGTAAGGGGTCCCAGGGGAGGCTGTGGGGGGGAAGGGAGGGGTCCAGGGATGGACTGGGATTGGGGGGTCCCAGAGGAGAAATGGGGGGAAAAGGGGTCCCAGGGAAGGACTGGGGTTGGGGGGAAGGGGTCCCAGAAGAGAAATGGGGGGAGGAGGTGTCCCAGGGATGGATTGATTGGGGGAAGGAGCCACAGGGGAGGAATAGGGAGAAGAGGGGACCAGGGATGGACTGGGGTTGGGGAAGGGGTCCCAGGGGAGGAATCAGGGAGAAGGAGGGGTCCCAGGGAATGAGGGGTCCAGGGATAGACTGGGGTTGGGGGAAGGGGTTACAGGGGAGGATCTGGGGGGGAAGGAGGGGTCCAGGGAAGGACTGGAGTTTGGGGTAGGGGTCACAGGGGAGAAATGGGGGGAAGGAGGGGTCCCAGGGAAGGACCAGGGTTGGAGAAAGGGGACCCAGGGGAGGACTCCGTGGGGCAAGTGTGCAGGGCAGGACCAGGGTTGGGCAGGGAGTGGTCTCTGGACAGCACAGGGGTGAGTCGGGGTCAGAAGCTCACCGTGAGGCCGGCCACCAGCGCCCCCTGCAGGAGGCCAGCAAGGACGTCGTTCCAGTGGTGTTTGTGATCAGACACGCGGGTGTAGCCCACATAGAGGGCAAAGGCCACCAGGAAGAACTGGACTGTGGGCCGCAGTAGCCGTGCCCACTTCCAGCAGAGCCGCGCCTGCACGTAGAGCTGGGATGGGAGAGGACGCCTCAGCCTGTGCCCTGCCAGGCACCCCCACGCCCACTGCACAGATGGCAGCTCCGAGGCCGGGGGCACAAAACCGGCCAGCCCAGGGCCTCCTGCTTTTACAAACAAGTCAGTTAGCCCCCCCATCACCACCACGACCCACCCATTTTACAGCTGGAGAAACCGAGGTCCAGGGAAGGGAGTCCCGGAGAAACGGACTCACCGCCAGGAACACCATGCAGTACATTCCAAAGGAGGCGTGTCCCGAGTAGAAGGACAACCTGAGGGGAGAGGCAGCCGGTGACTCACTGGGCATCTTCCAACCTCCCCTCGCCCCCGCCCCTCCCGCAGAAGGGAGGGTTCCACACGGGACCTGCCGATGTTACATGCCACCAGATCCCAGGAGCAGAGGCTGCTCCCTTTGCCCTGTCCAGTTATCTGATCATGGAATCAGAGTCTCCAGCTGGGGCTGTGACCCGTGAAGACTCTGAGGCCTGAACCCAACACCCAGGGGCAAGCAGGCAGCACCGGTTCCGTTTTCACTGCGTTTCTTTTCAGGATTTTCTCCCATCTATGGAACTGAGGGAAGATTTCTTTTTATATAAATTGGAGATTGGGCCGGGCGCGGTGGCTCACGCCTGTCATCCCAGCACTTTGGGAGGCCGAGGTGGGTGGATCACGAGGTCAAGAGATCGAGACCATCCCGGTCAACATGGTGAAACCCCATCTCTACCAAAAATACAAAAAATTAGCCGGGCATGGTGGCGCGTGCCTGTAATCCCAGCTACTCAGGAGGCTGAGGCAGGAGAATTGCCTGAACCCAGGAGGGGGAGGTTGCTGTGAGCCGAGATCGCGCCATTGCACTCCAGCCTGGGTAACAAGAGCGAAACTCCGTCTCAAAAAAAAAAGATTATTCAGCCTGGCCAGGCACAGAGGCTTACATCTGTAATCCCAGCACTTTGGGAGGCTAAGGTGGGTGGGTCATCTGAGATCAGGAGTTCGAGACCAGCCTGGCCAACATGATGAAACCCCATCTCTACTAAAAATACAAAGAATCAGCAGGATGTGGTGGTACATGCCCATAGTCCCAGCTACTCGGGAGGCTGAGGCAGGAGAATCACTTGAACCCAGGAGACAGAGGTTGCACTGAGCCAAGATCATGCCACTATACACTGCACTCCAGCCTGAGTGACAGAGTGAGATTCTGTCTCAAAAAATAAAATAAATAAAAATGAAAATATAAAAATTAGCCAGGTGTGGTGGTACACACCTGTAATTCCAGCCACTGGGGAGGCTGAGACAGGAGAATTGCTCAAACCCAGGAAGCGGAGGTTGCAGTGAGCCAACATCGAACCACTGCACTCCAGCCTGGGCAACAGAGCCAGACTCTGTCTCAAAAAAAAAAAGAGAGAAAAAGATTATTTAGCCTGAATGGGCTCAGGGGCTCACACCTGTAATCCCAGCAATTTGGGAGGCCAAGGCAGAAGGATTGCTTGAGCCCAGGCATTCTAGACCAGCCTAGGCAGCATGGTGAGACCATATTTCTAAAAAAAAAAAAAAAAAATGTAAAAACCAGGCAGATGTGGTGATGTATGCCTGTAGTCCCAGCTACTTGGAAGGCAGAGATGGTTTGAGGCCAGGAGTTCAAGTCCTGGGCAAGATAGTAAGATCCTCATCACTAAAAGAAAAAAAAAATTAAAGGCAAAAAAAGACAGTGATGAGGAACTGAAAAGGGAAGATATAACGTAGGCAACCTAAATGAAATGAGAGGGGTCCTTCCTTATCAGTGATTACACTGACTATAAATAGGTTAAACCCTCCACTGAAAGTCAGAGATTCATTAAATGCCTCGATTCAATAAAAAGATTAACATATGCTGGGGAAAAAAAAAAAAAAAACCGAAAGGGCCGGGCACGGTGGCTCAAGCCTGTAATCCCAGCACTTTGGGAGGCCGAGGCAGGTGGATCACGAGGTCAAGAGATTGAGACCATCCTGGTCAACGAGGTGAAACCCCGTCTCTACTAAAAATACAAAAAATTAGCTGGGCATGGTGGCGCGTGCCTGTGATCCCAGCTACTCGGGAGGCTGAGGCAGAAGAATTGCCTGAACCTAGGAGGCGGAGGTTGCGGTGAGCCGAGATCGTGCCATTGCGCTCCAGCCTGGGTAACAACAGCGAAACTCTGTCTCAAAAAAAAACACACACACACACAAAATAAAAAATAAAAAGTCAGAGATCTGGCTGGTGGTGTCATACACTTGTAATCCAGCAGTTTGGGAGGCCACAGAGGGTGGATCGCTTGAGCTGAGGAGTTCAAGACCAGCCTGGGCAACATGGCCAAAGCCTGTTTCTACAAAAAACATAAATAAACAGTAGCTGAATGTGGCGGACAGTCCTGGCCCCTCGGGAGGCTGAGGCGGGAAGATGGCTTGGCCTGGGAGTCCAAGGGTGCAGTGAGCTGAGATCACCGTACTCCGGCCTGGGTGAGAAAGCGAGCCTCTGTCTCGAAAAAATCAGACACTGGACAATACATAGAAAACTCGGCCCAATTTTATGCGAGGTATAAGAGACTTGCTTTAGAATCAGAGACATAAATAGGTTGGAAGTACAAGATTGGAAAAAAAAAAAATATTCCACGGAAACAGTAACGAAAAGAGCCAGAATAGCTATATTAATATCAGACAAAATGGACACCAAGAAAAACCGTTGAGACAAAACTCGTATCACTCTATGATGATGAAAGGGTCAATCTACCAAAAGGTATAGCAATTACATACTAACTGTAAATAATTATGTACATAATGTACATAAAGCAAAACCGGACAGAACGTTACAACATGAACCAAAGCCTCTCCAGTAGCTGGGACTGCAGGTGCACACACCAGGCCTGGCTAGAATGCACTAACTGTGTTCCATCAGCAAAAACATACAAACAATTTTGTTTTTATTACATTTACGTATCCTGTTTTTTCTTTTTTTATTTTTATTTTATTTTTTTCCTATAACTTTGAGTAAAACAAAAACAACTTTTTTTTTTGAGACCCAGTCTCGCGTCTCCCAGGCTGGGACACTCAGCTCACTGCAAACTCCGCCTCCTGGGTTCAAGCGATTCTCCCGCCGGTGCTGCCTGCTTGCCCCTGGGTGTTGGAGGCCGAGGTGGGTGGATCACGAGGTCAAGAGATCGAGACCATCCTGGTCAACATGGTGAAACCCCGTCTCTACTAAAAATACAAAAATTAGCTGGGCACGGTGGTGCGTGCCTGTAATTCCAGCTACTCGGGAGGCTGAGGCAGGAGAATTGCCTTGTTACCCAGGCTGGAGTGCAATGGCGCGATCTCGGCTCACTGCAACCTCCGCCTCCTGGGTTCAGGCAATTCTCCTGCCTCAGCCTCCTGAGTAGCTGGGATTACAGGCATCCGTCACCAGGCCGGGCTAACTTTTGTATTTTTAGTAGAGATGGGATTTCTCCATGTGGATCAGGTTGGTCTTGAACTCCTGGCCTCAAGTGATCTGCCCACCTCAGCCTCCCAAAGTGCTGGGATTACAAGTGTGAATCACCACGTGTGGCCAAATTTTTTTTTTTTTTTTTTTTTGGTCAGAGTCTCATTCTCTCACTCAGACTGGAGTGCAATGGCACGATCTTGGCTCACCGCGGTCTCTGCCTCCCAGGTTCAATCGATTCTCTGCCTCAGTCTCCTGAGCATCTGGGATTATAGGCGTGCACCAGTACACCCAGCTAATTTTTGTATTTTAAGTAGAGATGGGTTTTCACCATGTTTGCCAGGCTGGTCTCGAACTCCTGACCTCAGGTGATCCGCCCACCTCAGCCTCCCAAAGTGCTGGGATTACAGGTATGAGCCATCTTGCACAGCCCCCCCTAAATTTTTTTAATTAGGAAAAGAATCTGGGCACAGTGACTCACGCCTGTAATCCAAGCACTTTGGGAGGCCGAGGCAGGTGGATCACGAGGTCAAGAGATCGAGAACGTCCTGGTCAACATGGTGAAACCCCGTCTCTACTAAAAATACAAAAAATTAGCCGGGCATGGTGGTGCGTGCCTGTAGTCCCAGCTACTCGGGAGGCTGAGGCAGGAGAATTGCCTGAACCCAGGAGGCGGAGGTTGCGGTGAGCCGAGATCGCGCCATTGCACTCCAGCCTGGGTAACAAGAGCGAAACTCCGTCTCAAAAAAAAAAAAAAAAAAATTAGGAAAAGAAAAAGAGAAAGCAGACACCAAAGACCACATAGTGTATGATTCCATTTATATGAAACATTGAGAACAGGTGAAATCCACAGACAGAAAATAGGATAGCGGCGGTTGCCAGGGGCTGGGGGAGGAGTGACAGCCAATGCGTACAAGGGTCCTTTGCTTCCTTTCCTTTCCTTTTGTTGAGACAGGGTCTCACTCTGTCACCCAGCCTGGGGTAGGCACAATCTTGGCTCACTGAAACGTCTACCTCCCGAGTTCAAGTGATCCTCCCGCCTCAGCCTCCCCAGTAGCTGGGACTACAGGCAGGCGCCACCATGCCCAGCTAATTTTTTTTTTCTTTGAGATGGAGTTTCGCTCCTGTTGCCCAGGCTGGAGTGCAATGACACGATCTCAGCTCACCACAACCTCCACCTCCCAGGTTCAAGCAATTCTTCTGCCTCAGCCTCCGAGTGGCTGGGATTACAAGCGTGTGCCAACCACACCTGGCTAATTTTGCATTTTTAGTACAGAGAGGATTTCTCCCTGTTGGCCAGGACGGTCTCAAACTCCCAACCTCAGGTAATCCACCCACCTCAGCCTCCCAAAGTCCGGGGATTACAGCTGTGAGCCACCGTGCCCGGCCTAATTTTTTGATTTGTCATAGAGACGGGGTTTTGCCACGTTATCCGTGCTGCGGGCTTTCCTTCTGATGAGATGAAAATATTCTGGAATTAGGTAGAGGAGATGGCTGGACAGCATTGTGAATGTACTAAAAATGAACTGTACAAATGGTGACTTTTATCTTATACAAATTTTTTTTTTTTTTTTTTTGTGACGGAGTTTCGCTCTTGTCACCCAGGCTGGAGTACAATGGCGCAATCTCGGCTCACCGCAACCTCCACCTCCTGGGTTCAGGCAATTCTCCTCCCTCAGCCAACCGAGTAGCTGGGATTACAGGCACGCACCACCGTGCCCAGCTAATTTTTTGTATTTTTAGCAGAGATGGGGTTTCACCATGTTGACCAGGATGGTCTCGATTTCTTGACCTCGTGATCCACCCGCCTCGGCCTCCCAGAGTGCTGGGATTACAGGCATGAGCCACTGCACCGGGCCAATATTTTGATTTTTTAAAAAGGACAACGATGAGGTGAAACGTTTAAGGACCTATCAGTAGAGATGGTAAGAAGACAGCAAAGAGGGCAGGGCTGAGACTCAGGGGAGACAGAGCATGCTCCCCCCGGCCTCCTGCTGTCTACGGGGCGCCTGGGGCCCTAAGGCCTCACTCCTGCCTGACCACCTGCCTGCTGGCTCCTCACCATCCGGCTTCTGCGGCTTCTTCAGCTCCCATTGCCCCCCAGAGTGAAGGCTGCTTATCCACACCCACCTGGCCTCAGTGACGTCAGCAGCGTTTCCCCTGCACACCCTCTCCAGCTGCACGTAGGCCGAGCAGTTAACCCGGCTCCACTCGGGGTCACAGACGGCCAGGAAGTTGGGGCGCAGGCGGCCGATCGTGTACTTGGCCAGGTCTGTCAGAGACTGGCTCACGGCCGCCCCGAACAGGAAGGTCCCCAGCACCTTGTACACGGCAGCCACGTAGTTGTTGAAGTCGGAGCGGGAATAGAGCCGGTCCGTGTGCACCAGGTAGGCTTCTCCCGCCGAGACCTGTGGGTGGGGCAGCCGCAGCGACCAGCGGGGGTCCCGGTCATCCGTGGACTGGGCCTCAGTCCTCCCCACGGGCCTCCCCAAGGCTGCTGCAGAGCTGGGGACTCTAAAGGGGCCCTAGCCGGGCTCGGTGGCTCACACCTGTCATCCCAGCACTTTGGGAGGCTGAGGCGGGTGGATCACCTGAGGTCGGGTGTTCAAGACCAGCCTGACCAACATGGTGAAATCCATCTCTACTAAAAATACAAAATTAGCCGGGTGCGATGGCACACGCCTGTAGTCCCAGCTTCTGGGGAGACTGAGGCAGGAGAATCACTTGAACCCAGGAGGCGGAGGTTACAATGAGAGGAGATCCTGCCATTGCACTCCAGCGTGGGCAACAAGAGCAAAACTCTGTTTCAAAAAGCAAAAGGGGGTTCCTATTACCCACAAGTACCACTCGGGACAAGGGCGTGTCCCCCAGCCCCCCACAGACCTCCAGGGCAGGGCTGTGCCACCCCCGTCTGGAACCCAGGGTAAGGCCGTACCTTACCTGTACCCCATCCTACCCCCCTGCCCTGTCCCTCCGAACCCCTCCTGCCTTACAAGGATGACGGTGGCCGTGATGGTGACCCCGGCCATGAGCCCATGGGTGATGGTGTCTGGACGGTAGGGGTACCGGATGGAGTCATCCCCGCAGTAAAATCCTCGCTTGTACGGGGTGTTCACCAGCGACAGGACAGCGAAGGGCAGGGAGGCTGGAGGGGAGAAGAGCCTGGGAGCTGCGAGGTTCTCCAACCAGCTGGGCCCTGGGGCCCCCACACATGCCTTGGCCTTGAGGCCTCTCACCGCTGCTCCCACCAACAGCAAGGAAGAGTTTTTCCTCACAGCACGTGGGAGGCTCAAGCAACACCCCTTTCCCACCGCCCTCGGACGCGCACGAACTCCCCAGGCCCTCTCCCCCTCACGGCTCCCCTCTGCTCCTTGAACAAACCCAGCAAACACTTACCTCAGGGCCTTTGCACACACACTTCTCTCTGACCAAAATATCTTTTTTTTTTTTTGAGACGGAGTTTCGCTCTTGTTACCCAGGCTGGAGTGCAATGGCGCGATCCCAGCTCACCGCAGCCTCCACCTCCTGGGTTCAGGCCATTCTCCTGCCTCAGCCTCCCGAGTAGCTGGGATTACAGGCACGTGCCACCATGCCCAGCTCATTTTTGTATTTTTAGTAGAGACGGGGTTTCACCATGTTGATCAGGATGGTCTCGATCTCTTGACCTCGTGATCCACCAGCCTCAGCCTCCCAAAGTGCTGGGATGACAGGCGTGAGCCACCGTGCCCGGCCCTTATTTTTATTTTTAAAAGTAGAGACGGGGTCTCATGTTGACCAGGCCGGTCACAAACTCCCAGGCTGGAGACCCCCCCAGCCTCCGCCTCCCAAAGTGCCGAGATTACAGGTGTGAGACAACATGCCGGGCACCAAAGTGACTCTCTCTTCTGCTCAGCTTCATCTCCCCTCCTGGCTGTCCACACCGGCCTCCCCCTCATAAAAGGTAAGGTCTGTTTAGCTGGGCGTGGTGGCATGTGCCTGTAGCCCAGCTACTCAGGAGGCTGAGGCAGGAGAATTGCCTGAACCCAGGAGGTGGAGGCTGCGGTGAGCTGAGATCGCGCCCTTGCACGCCAGCCTGGCGACAGAGCGAGACTCTGTCCCAATTTATAAAAAGAAAATAAATAAATAAATGAAAATAAAAGGGAAGGTCTGCTCTTTTTCCCTCTGGTCCCATGTGGAATTATGCAGTCACCTTGGGACACTGGACTTAATCTCTCCCCCTCCACCTGCCAGCACCAGGAGGGGCCTGTCGTGTTCAGGACAGAGTCCCTGGATCCTGCTCAGAGCCTGGCCAGGGCAGATGTTTAATGAACATCTGTTAAAACAGGCAGGACTTATGTCAACCTAAGAGCTGCCCACAGAAGTCAGGAAAGGGTCCAAGCAGGGGCACAGTGGAGGTGCCTTCATGCTCGCCCCTGCCCTTCACTGGCCCTCATGCCAGGGCACATGCCAGCCACACGGTGACTCAGGGATCAAAGGCACATTCTCCTGAATTCCACACTTAAGGAAGGTGTCACATGGCACTGGGGCTCCCGGGGCCCTGCTGAGCCGAGGGTGGCCAGGGAAGCCGGAGTCAGCTACAGAGGGCAGGGGCGGGGGCAGCTCCCTGTTCCCTACAGCAGGTGCACAGCAAAACCGCGGGGCATCTACCCCAGAGAGAAACGAAGGCAAGGCGTCCTTTGGCCCGGCAGGGCAAGGACAGAAAAGCGTGGCTCATCTGAATTCTGAGAGTCTGAGGAGGGACAGGGAGCCTCGCACTCCTCCCTGCATGCCACCTGCAAGGGTCCTAGGACACGGCACACCTTCGATGCTGGCTGAGTCTGGGGAAATGATGCAGTGAAGACAGAGAGGTCTGCCTCACAGGGCAGGAGAGGCGGAGGGAATGCAGAACAGAAGGGGCAGCGCAGGGGCCTGGAGAGGCAAGCGCTGGGCAGATGGCGCAGAGAGGCTTCTGCTGGGGCGCAGCGGCGGCTGGCGCTGCTGTGAGGGCAGAGACCAAGGAGGAGGCTCCTGCAATTGCCGCCCGCCCGGTGGAAGGTCATGGTCACTGGACAATGATGGACTCCAGCCCCTCCCCGCGGCTCTCAGCAGGTGGAGGCTCACACTGGTTGGCCTCCATTTCTGACCTCCCTGCCCCAGTAACTCCAGCTAGAGACTCAGACACCCCCATGACAACCGGCCCCAGGCCTCCTTCTGCCTGGAAAGCTCTCCCTGGGGTCCCCGGAACAGGCACCTTCTCATTTGACCCCCGGGAACCTTCCCACCCTCACGCTGCCCCCACAGCCCCGTCTGGAACCTGTGGACTGCACTGTGATGGGCTGAAGCTTCCAGAATGGGGGTGCCCTCGGCCTGGCCACCACCCCCTCCTCCCCCCGGCTGTGTGGCTTCCAGCAGGCGTCTCCCCGAGGCTGCACCTCCCTCTCAGGCCGTTGTAAGGGAACCGTTTCGGTTATCTGCATGCCGCTTAGCGCCTGGCATCCAGAAAGTGCCACACACATGTTTAACTGACAGCTGCTCAGGACCTGGCGCCCAGGGCCGGCAGACACCCCACGGGGACTTCGTGCTGTCCCCTGGCCCACGCTAACGAGGGCCTACTTCGGAGGTCAGAGGGCTTGGCCTCCGCTGTCGGATGCCAGGGAACCAGGAAACGCGCTGGGGAGGAGGGCACCCCCGCCCCCCGCGGTGACAGAACTGCGGGACCATTGTCCCTTCTGCCGCAGAGCAAACACTCGGCCTTTGTTCCCGGGACCCTGGGGGGGCCTCCGGACGCCGCTTCCCCCATCTGGCCCGAAAACCCGCAGAACAGGTTTGGGTCTCCCGAGGCCCCCAAGCCTGGGACCCAGCTTTTCTCTCCAAGTGTCTCTCCCGCCCGAGGCGCAGGGGTTCGAATCCCACCGAACGCGCTGGGCGCCAGGGCCGGGTCAGCCCCTCCACGGGCACCCAGAGCGCCCACCCCGGGGGCGGAGGCGCGGACGTCCTGCCGGGAGATCCGCGGCCGCTCCCACCCCCCCAGGCCCGCCGCCCGCGTGAATCACCGCCCGGGCCGGGAGCGGCGGGAGGGAGGTGCGTGCGGTCCCTGCACCGCCACTTCCTGCTGCAGGGCGGGGAGGCAGTCCCCGCGCCCCGGGCGCTTCGAGACCCCCCAGCCCCCCGGGCCCGAGACGCGGGGACCCCGAGGCCTGGCAGGTGCGCGCGGCGGGGCCGTGGAGGGACGAGGGCGCGCAGCCTCCCGGACGCTGCAAAGCTGCGCGGAGCCGGGGCCGTGTCGGTCCCGGGAGGGTCCCCACCCCCGAGGCCCCGCGGCTCTTACCGACCAGCAAGCACAGCACGTCGAGCAGCACGAGGACCCACCTCCGCTGCATGCCCGCGGCCCCCGACGCTCCCTGCGCGTCCCGGCCCGGCCGCGGGTCACGTGGCCGCGGAGCCCGCCCCGCGCGGAGGGGAGAGGGGAGGGGAGGGGAGGGGAGAGGGGAGGGACGGAGAGGGCGGGGAGGGGAGAAGGGGAAGGGAGGGGAGCGGCGCGCGGGTGCGGCGGCCCGGGGAGGGGTGGACTCTGCCCCCGCCCGCGGCGCCAGAAGGAGCGGGTGGGGCGAGCGTGTGGGCGCCGCGGGGACCGTCCGCCTGGAGTTCGGGGCCCCGACCCGGGCTGTGCGCGTTTCCGAGCTGCGCGCGGTGGTGCCGGGCTCGAGGATCCCCGCGTGGGGAAGGAAGGCGGCGAACGGCAGGATCGCGGGGCCGCGGGGAGGATGCGCTCTGGCTCCGCCGGACGGGTCCCCCCACTTTCCTCCCAGGAAGTCACACCCGCGCTGCGCACCTTTAAACCCCCGAAAGCGCCAGGCGCGGAGGCTCACAGCCGTCATCCCCGCACTACGGGACGCCGAGACGGGACAGTCACCTGTGGTCAATAGTTCGAGACCGGCCCGGCCAACATGGTGAAGTCCCGTCTGTGCTAAAAGTACAAAAATTGGCCGGGCTGGCGCACGCCTGCAGTCCCAGCCACTCGGGAGGCTGAGGCAGGAGAATCGCTTGAACCCGGGAGGCGGAGGTTGCGGTGAGCCGAGAGCGCACCACTGCACTCCAGCCTCGGCTATGGAGCAAGACTCTCCCCCAAAAAATAATCAATAAAAAAAAAAAAAAACCTCCGAAAGCAGGAAGGGGCCCGCGGCTTCATGACAGGGGTGTTTCTTTTCTCCTAATACTCAAAATCCTGGCGCACGCTTCGATCCCCGGCATGTCAGCAGCTCAGGTTCTTCAGCACCCACCTTGGGGACGGTGTTGGGTGTCCCCGGAGTACCCCATGCCCAGGAGCCATTCCTGTCAACACACTTCCGATCCCACTTCATGGAAGAGCACGGGGGCACGGGGAGGTGGGAACCCATGAAATGGCGCTGGGGTCTCTGCCCCCACCGGGTCCTGGGGAGCCCTGAGCTGAGGGTGCCTGGGGGCTGAGGGCACCCAAGCCAGGGAACGGAGGCCCAAGGGGCCCACACTGGGTCCTTTCAGCCGTGACCAGCCAGGAGGCCTCAGGAGTGTCAGACCCACCCCTCCCGAGTCCAGCCTTGACTTCTGCCACTCCCGGTCACTTAGTGGGACGTGGCCGGGCTGGATCCCCAGGTCCACCGCCACCCTGAACCTTCAGCCCCACCATCAGCCCCCCTGCCCCAGCAACACAAAAACAGGGTGCGTCTCAGCAACTGGACTTGAGCTGGGAGCTCCTCGGCCCTGCTTCCTGGACGGTCAGACAGCTGCACCTGGGGCAAGGGGCTCCTGGGAGGCAGCAGAGGCCACTGTGGCGCCGGGTGGGAGGAAAAGGTGCAGGCTGCCCTGTGGCTTCCAGTTCCGCTGCTGCACTTACGGTGGGGCTGGGCTGGGCTGGGCTGGGCTGGGCTGCGCAGCGGCTCCAGCTCCCGTCGGGATTAGCGTGCGGGGCATAAATAAATGCTACGTAAATGTCGCCCTCAGCGTCCCTGCTGCACTTTGCCTGTCCGTGTAGTCTTCACGGCCCACGTGCACTTTCTGCTACGATGGAGAGGGTGCAGCATCACACCGGAGTCGAGGAAAGGCAGGGTTCTTTACTGGGCACCTACTGTGCGCTGGGGGGGCAAGGGAGAGGTCACTTGGAGGGGCTTGCCACAGTTGGGGGGGCGACGGTGGGGGCTGTGAGATTGGGCCAAGCCAGGAGGGAGACACCCAGGAGAGGGGAGGAGGTAAACCTGGGAGGGTAGAGGGTGGGGTGAGGCTGGAGGCTGTTCCTCCTTCCATCCTTCCCCTTGGGTCAGGATTTGGGTCAGCCCTTAAAATCCCCGGGCAGGGCAAGGATTAAAATCTGGTTGGGGAAGCAAGAATGAGGATTACGGTCAGGATTGGGGTGACTCCTGCGTTTGCTGACTTCAGGGAACGTCCTGTCAGAGCTTTTTCTCAGCTGCATCTACTGCTGCCCCAGCTGCCCGGTCCTCCCTTACAGGAAGAACGTGCGGCCAGGGCACCTCCCAGCAGTGACAGAGCTGGCCAAGAGGCCAGGCCTCCACGCCGTCCTCCTTCGCCCGCAGATGGCAGAGCTGGAAGTGGGTAGCGGTACACGGCCCCAAGCTGGGTCCGCTAGAGACAGGACCGCCCCTGGGGGCCCGGCCACCACCCCCAGGCGAGCAAGCTTAGCTCCACAGGCTCCGCCACCTTGGTGCCTCATTGCAACCTGGATGGCTCCGGGTCTGCTTCCAAATGGACGTTTTGGAGACTGAGACACCTGGGAAAGGGATGGAAGGGGGCCTGGCACAGAGTAGGTGCCACCTCAATGCAGCCAGCCACTGCACCCGCCCTCACTGTGCTTCTCTGTGACTTGACAGGTGAAGTGCCTTACCCAAGGCCAAAACGGGAGTCGTCTCCCAGGTTTCTGGCGTGGGGCTCCTGGAGCCAAGCAGGTACCCATCGGTGGGTCTGACGTGCAGGCGGTGGGCAGGGAAGGCAGAGTGGGTGGATACTCAGTCTCTGTCTGTATAAAGGGGACACGACAGTGGCTTCCACCTGGGCTTCTAGAGAAGATTAAACAGCTGGTGAAACGCTTGACCCAGGGACAAGCACTGGGAAACTTCATTAAACAAAACACGGAGTGGGCGGGTGTCACGCGTTTGCTGGGTCAAGATGTAAAAGGTACTTCTTCCCGGGGTGAAGACGAGAAAGCATTGGAAACCACCGCCTTCAGAGTCAGAATCCAGGACCCCTGAATTTGGAAGCCCGTTAGGACTTTGCAGTCCCTGGGGTGCCCCTTAATGCATCATTGGGTAACCTGACAATCCCAGGGACAGGGCAGCCCTGCAGGCTTCAGCACTGAGTCTGCTGTGCTCTGTCTGTGAGACGTTTGCACTGGGTCACACCGAAGAAAAGCACACGGCAGCAGCCCTGCATGCGGGCAGCCCCGCCAGAACCCCAGGCTCCCCGAGTGCACGGCCCCTCCCTGCCCCTCATCTTTTAAGTGCTCTGGGCCATCTCGGTGTGCCCGAGGGCTCACCGTCCCCGTCTCCTCCCCGAGCCGGCACACAGTGGGTGCTCAGGGAACGCTTACTGGGGCGGTCACCCCCAGAGGATGGGTCAGCAGCAGGGAGCTCGCTGAGAGTTTTAACTGGGTCACAGCATGACACCCGAGCCACAGTGGAGGGCAACGGTGTGTTCCTGAGGGGAGAGTTAGTCTCTGCCTGTTTTTTTTTTTGAGACGGAGTCTCGCTCTCCTTACCCAGGCTGGAGTGCAATGGCGCGATCTCGGCTCACCACAACCTCCGCCTCCTGGGTTCAGGCAATTCTCCTGCCAGCCTCCCGAGTAGCTGGAATTACAGGCACGCGCCACCATGCCCAGCTAATTTTTTATATTTAGTAGAGACGGGGTTTCACCATGTTGACCAGGATGGTCTCGATCTCTTGACCTCGTGATCCACCTGCCTAGGCCTCCCAAAGTGCTGGGATTACAAGCTTCAGCCACCGCGCCCGGCCTTCCACCTGCTTCTTGTACAGCACGAGGGTGGGGAGGCCGCAGGGGCCCCCCAGCGAAACAATGAAATCCCCATTCAGAAGGCTTCCTGATGCAGGGCAGCCTCTACCCCTGCCCCCAAAACCAGGATCCGGTGAAGGCGTCACCTGCAGACCTCGCATCGTCCGCAAAGCTGCTGAGCACCCACAGACCCAAAGGGCTGGGCTCCAAGGACTCGCCATGCCTCTGGTGCCCACCGCAGCCCACCACAGTCCACCAGCTCACTTCGCAGGTGCTCAGCAGGGCCCTGCTCTCGGCTCTCCCCGCACAGGCCTTGGCGCCTGGCTCCGGGTGAGGAAACATCTGCCCCCCAGCGACCACCACCCACCCCTCCCTCCATGACCTCAAGCCAGAGGACCAGCAGGCCGGGCTGGGCTGCCTCCAGGAGGCACGGGCGCCCTCTGCTGGACACACGGAGGAAGCGCCCCATGCCAGGGTCTCAGTGGCCTCCTGAGATAGCCCAGGAAACGGGGCTGCTGGACGGACAGACGACCAAAGAAACATCAGGCCGGGCGCGGTGGCTCACGCCTGTAATCCCAGCACTTTGGGAGGCCCAGGCGGGTGGGCCACAAGATCAAGAGATCGAGACCATCCTGGTCAACATGGTGAAACCCCGTCTCTACTAAAAATACAAAAATTAGCTGGGCACGGTGGTACGTGCCTGTAATCCCAGCTACTCGGGAGGCTGAGGCAGAAGAATTGCCTGAACCCAGGAGGCAGAGGTTGCGGTGAGCCGAGATCGCGCCATTGCACTCCAGCCTGGGAAACAAGAGCGAAACTCCGTCTCAAAAAACAACAAAAAAAAAACATCAAGGACCCCCTCGCTGAGTCCTGATGCCTGTGAAACAGACGGGATGCCCAGTTACATCTGAATTGCAGAAGAGCAACAAACCAGTTTTCAGTATGTGTCCCAGATACTGCATTGGATAGACTTAGACGTGTGTTTTTTTGTTTTTTGAGATGGAGTCTCACTCTGTCGCCCAGGCTGGAGTGCAGGGGCACAATCTCGGCTCACCGCAACCTCCACCTCCTGGGTTCAAGCAATTCTCCTGCCTCAGCCTCTCAATTAGCTGGGATTACAGGCACACGCCACATCACCTGGCTAATTTTTTTGTATTTTTAGTAGAGACGGGGTTTCACCATGGTGGCCAGGATGGTCTTGATCTCCTGACCTCGTGATCTGCCTGCCTTGACCTCCCAAAGTGCTGGGATTACAGGCATGAGCCACTGCACCCGACCCACACGTTTATCTGCAATTCGAATCTAAGTGGACATCCTCTATTTTATCTGGCCACCCTACCCAGGAACTACAAGGCCCACCAGGGCGAGAGGAACAACTGTGTCAGGTCAATCGAGACCCAGACAGTGCCACTCC